TAATAGGAGTAGCAGGCAATATGATCACGGATAAGAGGAGTTTCGCATATTCTGCAGGGTGTTGAGAGAGCCTTAAAAAAGGAAATTGTAAAATTGTGTGTGCATTATAGATTAATTGATTTGAGAGTGAGTGAGCCATCCTTACTATGCAATGTGCTGCGTGTTTCTAATGAACTAGTAAATAGTGTAACCAATAACAGCATTCTTTGTCTACGTGAAATATTGAAAATGTCTTGCCATTTTAAGAGATGTCATGAATCTGATTCTTGTCTTTTTTTTATTTGGGATCACAACATACGCATTAATCTATTGGCTTATGTGCAATTGACCTATCTCAAGGTACACTACCAAGGTGGCATTTATTATGTTTTCACTGTTAATATCTCCATTTCCATTCCGCTGCAGAGCATTGCAAACCCTGAGCGGTGTGGCACGAGCATTATGCGTTGTGTATGCGCCGCGTGACAGAGCCAGAGCCATGTGAGCGGGGGAGCGCTGCGAGTTGTGGCAGCTTTTTGTGTTGGGTAATGGAGCAGGTTGACGAGATGACATCGCAGGAACAGTGCTCGCTGCGACACGTGCATTGTGAAAATCCCAGAAAATGACTCATTTGCTATGCTGCCCGATCTCATCTCTCAGCCCACTGCTCTGCCACCTGGTCTCACAGATCACTGAAGCACGTACAGCCTACTGCCAGCATTCCTCACAAACCCACCACCGCATTTTAAGCTAAATATTCATTTCTACGTTTGTAACGTGCGTTTTTTTTAACCTGCATCCCTGACTCCCTCTACTCAATTTTCACTCCCAAGTCTGAGTGACAGTTGGAAGCCTGCTGACCTTGAGGTCAGGGATTAATCATCTGCTTTCACAAGCCTCCCTCCCCATCCCTCTCCTCCCCATATATCTTATTTTATATTTTTACACTTTTTCAATGCTCCTGATCTGCTCATAAGAGGACAGCATCCCTTCCTCTGCCGGGCATTCAGCCCCATGCACCCTCGACCGCTGTTCCAGAAAAAGCAATTTAATGCCTTACAATCGAGAACAACTGAGCACTTCATCTTGATCAAAAGTTTGATTGTAGCCAGAGATGAACTCGGCTTTCACAAAAGCCCAATCTTTCTGCAATTGGAACAAAAGAACATGATCTCTTCATGGAGGAGGAATAAATAAAATCAGCAAAAATGTCATACTCGAGTATTTTACAGTTGGCTTGAAATAAATAATGTAAAATACTCCTTGTATTTGCGAGATACTACGTAGATTTTATATCCATATCTTTCATCTAGTTAAACAACAATCATTTATTTGCATAGCTTTGTCAATACACTGTTGGATGAAGGCCTCCCCATGCCGTGTTGGACATGGGTTTTGTTTGACTGTACTTCACCACCCTGGTAAGTGCAGGTTAGTGTAGGGGGTGATCTATGAATGGTTCAGATGTCACTTTCCACTATTTGGCAATTGCCGGGAATAAAACTGGGATAGCTGGATTCAGAGTGCAACTTGCTAACCACGTCACCACTTCCCCATTCATTTTTCTATCTAATGTTAAATGTCTTTTGTTTTAGACACGGTTTTAAGTGTGCGATAGAGACAGTGACATGTTTAATGAGATTTAGGAATAGATGATACTTAAACATGAATAAACTGATTTAATCCAAATTATTTTAAAAAAATGGTTCTCTGGATTGTCTTCACTTATATTTTAGGGTTGATCTAAAGTTCGAAACGTTTTGGTCTCATGCTAAACACTTTAAATATACTATCTCCTATTCTTCGGGTCTTTCGGTAAAATCATGTAGATAGGTTCAAAGAAAATAACAAAAAATAACAAAAAACGTTTCGATCACAACACAAGCGATCGTCATCAGCAGGAAAAAATGAGGGGGAAAGCTCCTGAGGCAGAGACAGTTTTAAAGGTTTAAAATGGGTGTAGCCCAGGGGTCATCAACGAAGTGGGGCTAGTGATGTTAATGTGAGACATTAGCATGTTAATGTGAGATCGGAGAGCGGTCTCCACGACGAAGGTCACGGAGGTGGCTATGTTAATGTGAGAGATTAGCATGTTAATGGGAGACCAAGGTGGCTGTATTAGTGTTGGAAATTTAACCTGTTAATGTCAAATCGGAGAGCCGAAAATAACAACTAACAACTAATCGGAAGGTGGTCGGATGGGAACAGCACAGCCAGTTGTGATGTAAACTGGTTGATAACGTCCTTCCAATGATTGCTCAGTTTATACCCATCTTCTCGATTGAAGTTGTGTGTCTGTATTTGTGGATGGCTTCATGAACGAATCTTTGTTGATAGCCAGTGGTTTTGCAAAGTACCTTCGTCTTAGAGAAATAAATTTCGTGTGAGCCCACCGCATTAAAACAATGATCAGCCATGGCCGAGGTATTGGTCCTACCGTGTTTCAGATCTGCCTAATTTTATTCCTTTCAATGTGACTTTACCGAAAGAACCAAAGAGTAATTCCTGCAGTCACGAAAGCTTAGAATCTAGTTTGTTATTTTTTGTTCTTTTCTTTGAACCTATCTACGTGACTTTACCGAAAGACCTGCAGTCACGAAAGCTTCAAGTCAAGATTTATACGATCTCCTCTACCATTGCTCTAAATGATTCACCTCCAATAGTGTGTGATTTTTAAAGGCAAGAGCAGATTCAACCTGCCAGTGGTTACGAGTATGAAAGGCATTTTTTATCTACGTCTAAGCATTTCCTTGACCATGTTGGTGCCAAATTTCAAATTTTTCTTATAGGACAACAATAGTAGTTCCAGCAGTTTCTCAGCAACAAACGTCTGTGTGTGTCTATATATAGTGATGTGATTTGGTTAAGCAACAAAATTAGATTTTTTTCTCTTAGCAACCTTGTCTGTGGCTTTATAAACATTCCAAATTTACTGAAAATATTTTTGCTGAAATACACTTTGATTTTCACTCATATTTTTTACATTCAGAAATTATGACACTGTAATCTGCTCACAATTAAATGCTATGGGAATATATGTATATTTTCACTTGTAATTTGTCTTAATGTTTTTGTATTTATTCTCACATTCTATCCCCATTGTGCATTTGGTGGCATGTCATGAGACAAATATTCCATGGAGATATCTCGCAGAGCAGTGCAACCCCTTAGAGAAGAGCCATAGAAGCAGATATCAAAGGAGAGCTACTTACATCCCTCCTTCAAATGACCTCTGGTCCACAGTAAGAGCCAACACTTCTCCACTGTTCATAATCAACGTTTTTGGGTTTAGATCGCGTTATTTATAAATGTGTCATAACCCTCCACCACCCGACACGGCCAATCAGTAAAAAAGTGTCACGTTGACAAAAGACAAATAGTTGAAGCGTGAAACCATTTCACGCTTCAACACACCGGTGGGCTAAAGCAGTGAACTATTTGTCTTTTGTCAACGTGACACTTTTTTACTGATTGGCCGTGTCGGGTGGTGGAGGGTTACGACACATTTATAAATAACGCAATCTAAACACAAAAACGTTGATTAGGAATAATATTGGTCGCGAAAGCCTACGTGTTAAGCTGACTTATCCACTGGTCCCGCCAGATTACAGTAATGTTAGTCGTATGACAGTTAAACTCGTATTTTAATAACCCGGGCTGGAATGTATCCATATTAAGTGCATATACAAATAATACATTCAAAACCCAGGGGTTTGTTGTTCTTATCTGCCCCTGCTGCCACTGCCTCTCGTGTGAGGTCCAGGGCCACAATGTCCAGACCTGTGTTTATCAGCCATCTCCTTCAGTCTATGATATCTGTGTTCGCAGCGTGTCGGCGACCTCTTACGAAAACCAGATTTACCATAAGTACAAAAATCTCGTTTTAATATGCTAGGGTTTTTTTGTTTTGTGTGTGCAGTCATTGGCCACTGGGCTGAGACACTTTAAGAGCCACGTGTAATAATCACAGTCTGGATTCAAACCAGAGGTCGCAAACGGGTTTTGATTCCTTACCCGTACCCATACCCGGCCACACCAGGGTCGCAAACGGTAGCCAGGTACCCATACCCGGCCGCACCAGGGTCGCAAACGGTAGCCAGGTATTGGGTAGGGTACAGGTATCGGGTACCCGATTGCGACCTCTGATTGAAACCCACCATCTCGTCGGTGCCAGCTTTTAGTGCCCTTACCTCTAAACCACCCAGCCACCTCTATTTTTATATATTTTTTTATCTTCCTAACCATCATCAGACATCATTTGTCTGCTATTGCATAAAGGCAACCCCACACATAATTTACTGGTTCATTATTACCACCTTCTGTTGAGTTTTCATCCAGATTGGCTCTGCGTCCCGGATACTCTTGCTATGTGATATCTGTAAATCTCATTTGCCAGCCCCTTTTGTGATTTGTCTTTGGTTAATTGATTATCTTGGTAATGAGTGCTTTGCCCCCCCCCCCCCTCGTTCTCTGATCCACATGTTGCTGCTCTTGTCTGTTAGAATCCTTTTGTCATTGCGCTGGGATTTGGAAGGTGAATGACACACAAAAATAGAACGTTCATTTGACATTTATTTTACCAATAACGTTGCCGGTTGAGGTTCTTTTAGTCTATTGAGTATAGAAGAAGTTCAACGGAAACTAAAGCAATGAATAAGGAACAATGTAAAACAACAAATGCTGCTTGGGATGCAGTGTTTGTTTGAAATAACTCAATTTTGGAGAAAACTAAAATATTACCAATAAGGAGATGTCTTCTTGGTTCTTTCAGTAAAGATGGCTGCTTGCGTTGTGGCCGAAACGTCGTGATAATTATTTTATGATGTTTTATTTTTATTATTTTATTATTTCCCTTCTACGTGACTTTACCGAAAGAACCAAGAAGATTAATCCCTACAGTCACGAAAGCTTTAAATCGAAATATGGAGATGGTGAATGGATTCCGAAGATGAAGTGTTACACGAACGGGATCTGGAACTTAGACGTGGAAATGCGAACCTGTGTTTTTTTTCTCTGTCCAGGTGTGGCCCATCAGTCGTGAGATCAACTGCCAGTGCTTGAGAACTCTGTCTGTCAGTGACGACCGCACCATCTGCCTGCAGCCTCAGTTGCACTGCGATGGGCGCACGATCATGTGCGCCTCCGATCTCGGAGTCATCCAGTGGGATTTCTCCAACTACCAGCAGATCAGGTGGGTGTGCCACCTTCTCACTTACATATTCTTAGGTTTTTTCGGTAAAGTCACGTAGGTAAAACATCAAAATTAATAAAAAATCAAATAAAATAAAACAAAAATCACGACGTTTCGGAGGCAACACAAACGTCGTGATTTTTGTTTTATTTTTATTAATTTTGATGTTTTACCTATGTGACTTTACCGAAAAAACCTAAGAATATGAATCCTTGCAGTCACGAAAGCTTCAAATCTAGAATTCTCACTTACACCCCAACATCTTCAAAACTAGTCTTTTGAGAGTCGAGGAAGCTCTGAGGACAAACTTATTATACTTTCATCTTCTTGGTTCTTTCGGTAAAGTCACGTAGAATGGAAATAATAAAAATAAAAGGTAAAAAAAGATTGTATTATTTTATTCTATTATTATATTGCATTATTTTATTATCTTTTATTATTATTTTATTATTTCCATTCTACGTGACTTTACCGAAAGAACCAAGAAGATGAATCCCTGCAGTCACGAAAGAAGCTTTACATCGAAATTATTATACTTTTTTTTTCTCGGCATGTCTGTTTTGTCACCTTAAGCAAACTTATTGCACGTTCACCTTTTTTCAGCTGCTTTCGTGGCCGAATTATACTTTACATCTTCTTGGTTCTTTCGGTAAAGTCACGTAGAAGGGAAATAATAAAATAATAAAAATAAAACATAATAAAATACAATTCTCACGACGTTTCGGCCACAACGTAAGCAGTCCTTGTTTTAAAATAAAACAGCACAAAGGTTGTGCTCAACCAGACCGTCTATGCTGAACTCGAACTGAAGATGGATTTCTAAAAAAAGAATTTTTATTATTTTATTATTTCCCTTCTACGTGACTTTACCGAAAGAACCAAGAAGGTGAATCCCTGCAGTCACGAAAGAAGCTTTAAATCGAAATTTATACTTTACATGTTACTGATGCCAGACGCAAAGGCGGCTGAGAGCAGGTCGGAGTGCTTTTGGAAAGGTGAACTCGATAATGAAATGCAACATGCCGATGTGTCTAAAGAAGACAGTTTTTAATCGGTGCGCATACTACATATGGTTAAAAAACATGGTCGTGAACATTAATTTTTTACAAAAATTCAACTGTGCAAATGTATGTTTACGTATTTATGTTGAATATGTTTTGCACTATCCATAGCCAACCATGCTAACTAATCAAGCTTGCATGGAGAGATGCATGCTAGAAATTCCATTGAGGGAGCACATAGATTTTTAGAGCATATGCAGGTTAAAGACATAATTCAAACAGCTAAGAATAATAAGTGGGTTGGGCAGTGTACATATTGCTTAAAGTTATAATGGCCGATGGTCAAGAAAAATGATGGTGTGCCAGCCAAGAAACAGAACGCATCCTAGAGAACTTCCACCAAGCAGAAGGAGCGATGGATCAGTTGATGTGCATTTGTTAGGGGGATCATCGCGTTGCAGGATCAAGATAGATAGCGGCAGCTTGTGGAGGCCTTCACGAAACAGTAAGATTTACCAAGGCCAATCATGATTATGACGATTGTTTTCAAGTGCTTAGCAGCACTGCTCGTAACAAATTCTACGCCTCGACAGGGTGATGAAATGTGGCGATGCACCGCCGATGTCGCTGCTGCGCTTTGGCGAGACGTTCGCACTGCTGCTGGATCAGCGGAGCCTGTGCGTGGTGGACGTGCGCTCGGAGCGCTGCGTCGGCACGTGGCCGCTGCCCTCGTACCGCCGCTCCAAGCGTGGATCGAGCTTCCTGGCCGGCGAGGCCGAGTGGCTGCACGGCTTCAGTGGCGGCAACGACCGGGGTCTGGTGTTTGCCACCAGCATGCCGGACCACAGCATCCACCTGGTGTTTTGGAAGGGTGACGGTTGAGCGCCGGAAAGCAGTGCAGAGTAAGGAAGCGTGAGCGGTGGCTGGCAGTGGGCGGGGGGAGAGCCATCGGTTTATATCAGCAGTCTCCAACGCAAGCTCTTAACGGCAGTGGGGGTTGGGGGGGGGGTAACCCCTGAAAGGGCTACGGCCGTGTGATGTTGACAGAAGAGTAAGGCAGTTAATCCTCTTAAAAGTAAGGCAGTTAATGTTTTAATAAGCTGACCATACACACCCATGCTCCTTTTAGTAAGCTCAATTATAGTCTGGGGTTCCATATTAAACAAAAGCCATTTGTGCACGTGTGTATGTGTATTATATACGCGCGCACACACACACACAACTATAGCTGTGACTGCTTTTAAATTAATGCGTAATATTAGCATGACCATGTTCACTCTCGTCATAACTGATAACAGTACTCTGCTGATATTTTGCCAATAAGTGAGAAGAGGAAGAATGTTGAGGAAGCCAGTTTTCAGGACATGGTGCAAGTGGTCCTCTTTGTCTGTAAGAGTCTAGAAAAAAGGCCACTGTCCTCTCTGCATGGTTCAAAAGCTTATAATCTGCTGGAAGGCTGCATCCATATTGCAACAGAGGGTGCTGACTTTAGCACAGAGCCAAGCTAGTTGATGGTGCTTCATAATGACGGAACACGTTTTAACTTTATTTTCTCCAGTCATTGCGGTGCCAGCTTCACAGCCAAGTCCGGTTTGACCGAGGATTGCATCATTCTGGTCTTTGCTAGCAAGGCAACAAAAATGGAAAAAAAAAAGTATTGGCTTTCTTTCATTGCGTCCGTGTCTTTTTTAATTTAATATATTTTTTATATATGTATATTTAATAGCTCGATAACAGTGAAATAAATTGTACAGTTTATACGGAGTTTATGAGCCAAATAAATATGGTTATTGGCCTGTGGCTTACTGGAAGGCATCAAGTACCACGACTGAGTGAGTCTCTGCATTGCTGCACGGGGGGCATATCGATGTGCAAGGTCACCGGGTGGGGAATCTGGTGAGATTCTGTTTGTTTCCCACCCACCCAAGCGGTAAACATTTGCATGAAGCACACCTTGATCCAGACGGCAAAGCGGACACTCACTACTAGTACGTGCCAGTATCCGTCACACCTCGATAACTGTTTTGGCTGTTCTCTAAATCAGTCTGAATAAAGGCTGGCTGTAATGTTGATTAATTTATTTTTTGAGCATCTCATTTATTTGACACTGTTCACGATCCATCATTTTTTGTTTATTTCACTCGTTACTTTTGGGGGCAGCTGGGCGGAGAGTCGTTGTTTTGCTGCTGTTGAGTGGGTTTATTTTTTCAACAACTTTTCCATTAATAATATAAACACATCTTCACAATGTCTTGCGGAAACATATTTATGCCTTTAACCGTTAAAGCCCTACTAGACCAGAAGACATGCAGGAGGTCACAGCTTTTACAGTTTCAAGGAGAATGCTGCAGATATGATCTGTTAATTGTTAAATTGAAAGTTCCTGAATTGTCAGCGTTATGTAATATAAAACTTGAACACCTGTACAAATAAATGAAAGTCTACTATAGTTTTCTGTTTGTTTTTGATTTATTGATTTAAATGTCATATTTTTGCCTGCCATTCTATAGCCTGCCAACATATTTTGTCAGATGCTTTTTTCCTGGGAACGTTTGAAATGTATAGTCTTAAATATTTCACCAATGTTAAAGGATAAACACCAAAATAAAGCTAAACGATTATATTTTCATCATGCTCAATTTCATTTTTTTGTTTGCAAATTAACTCCGTTTCTGTAGATTCGCATTGTAAAGAAATATTGAAGCACTATTCATCGGGTAATTCAACAAAATCTTAATGCATTTAAGAATGTTGTGTTACTCTTGGTTTTTCCCCAATGAGTAAAATATATTCATAGTTTTGACAATCTCAAATATGGAATGGTTTTGCCATGAATATTACTGGTGTACATTCAGAAAATTATCTGCGCTCTGAGATAAATTCACTTACCTTTTCCTGCTTTCACCATTACCTTTTCTGTGCTGCACTCATTTCACAGCCTATACACATTTGTGCTTTGTTATCTGAGTGTAGTTTATCTCTCCTGTGCTAAACATGAACAAGGGTAATCGGGTTGGCCTCTCTCTGCCGCAGTATGTAAACATTACTAATGGCAATGCATGCACGCTTTTTTTTACTCTTGGTCAAATCAGCAATCCTCAAGGTTTTGTGCTGGCAGTCTGCTAGTAGCCTGAAAATTATGTTTGGTGATGACCTGGCAGTTAGTGGTGGAGGGTGTAAAATCTATCTTAATATCCGCAGTGAGGTTGCAACTGTGGTTGCATTACTTTTATAGGAGTTTAAAAATCACTGTTCTGCTTTCCCCGTCTCTGCACATGGCTACTTTTGTTGAGATACGCTTCAGGATGCTGCTGCTGCTGCGGTGTAACGGTGAGTACTCAGGACTTGTCGCCGGTTCTGTCTGGCGCAGCAGTTGAAACAATTTGCGAGTTTCTTATTTCAACCCACCTTTGACCACCCAACAGTATATTGGGTACAGCACAGTTGATCAGCAGATTGTGTGTGTGATATGGCAAAGTGTGAGTTATCGTATCTCTTCCAAGTTGTCTGGCCAGCATGGAAGAGTATGCCAAATACCCTTTATAGGGTCTATCTCCCTCAAGTGGAAGCCCTTCTGCCAGCATTGGCATGAGCAATACATTTATAGCGCTGTACATCTCAGAGTTTATCCGATGTCCATTCAGTCGTGCGCGTTTCCTGAATGTGATGTTGAAAACAAGACTGGTCTCGTGCATGCATGTTGCTTGTTTTAGGCGTTGCTGTAAAGTGCTGAATGAACTATTGGGCACAATGCAACGTAACAACTTGGAGGCTCGTAAGAAAGTGAGGGGGGGGGGGGACTACAGCCCCTCTTAACTCGGCACATGCAGGTCAGCTTCAAGTGCTGTGTATTGTCGTGCGTTTTTAACCTGAACATTTTACAGAAAGCATACGATCTGGAACTGAGATGAAATACATCTGAAAGCTCAAGTTGGCTTGCAGTGTAGTTTAAAGTAGTTGCGTGTGGCCAAGAGTTGAGAGAGATTTAAAACTAGTCACGAGTTTTATCGTGCCTTTTTCATGTTGAAAAATGCACTTACATTTGCTTTTAAAGTTAGGATTCTTATGTTTTGCAGGTATTTGAGTACTGAAAGCAAATTAATCCAGAACTTCCTTGTAGTAATACATTGAATGATAACATGCTTATTACTAACCACTGCAGTTTATCTTTAGAACGCATCACTAAATGTGTGTATTCATGTACTGTGTACAATTTACTGTGTATCTTACACTGATTAAAACATTTGTTTAGAGGTACTAGTTTGGATAAATGCTTACATCGTAAGCGTTTCTTGAGCAATTGAGCATATGTAAACCTATTTCTGTGTTTTTAAATTGAATGTCATTTTGTCACTCACAATTTATTTGGCATTATTTATGTACCGGGCGTTGCACACTGCAGACTAAATATTCAAAAAGTCATCCTAATTGTAAGCATTTTTTGTCAAACAGAATTGTTTTGGGGCTCTTGATGTTCTTCCGAAAATATAACAATTACTCATCAACAAGGAACACATTCCTGCTGCGGAGGGAGCTGGTAGGAACGTTGGGTTGCTCGGTCAATGGCCAGGGTCAATGGCGGCGTGGTGTATTCCGCAAATATGCCCGACTGAGGGCGGGCAAGAGCCGGCGTGAGTAGGTTAAACGTTGAATTTTATAAGGGCACCACGGGGTTACCAGCCCCTCCCCACCCAACCTCACCCCTCCCACCCCCCACCCAGCCCTACCCTCCCTACCCTCCCCACCCAGCCCCTCTCCACCCTCCCCACCCAGCCCCTCTCCACCCTCCCTTCTCCACCCAGCCCCTCCCTGCACGACGGACACAATAATCCCCAGTGGCCTGGTGTAACCAGGAGGTTCCTACCAGTATAATCTGAGCGTCTCTTCATCATCCACGAGCGCTGTGCTGTGACTGTCTCTTGTGCAACTTGTTCCTTATTAATAAACCACCCCTCTCCTGTTCCATACCCTTTATATGGTGCGGTCCTTTTAAGTGTTTCTGAAGCAGAGTGCCATAATGCAGCTGAGTTTTAAAACTAATGTTTGGCTTCAGAGGTTGGCAGAGCCATTATTTTTCATAATCTTTTTTTCTTTTACTCAAATATATTTATGATATCGTTACTGACTGGTCTACCTGATTTGTGGATGTTGGTAAATTGGGTAGGATGATAGATAAAAAGGAGCAAATGTGGAAAGGGATTTTGAAAAGCTTAATTGTTGCCCAGATATTGAACGATGTTACCTACTGATCTAGTACAAAGTGTGGCATTTTGATTCCAGAAACTGAAATAACCTCTCGTTTGAACATGGCTCAGTGAAAATGTAGGCAATTAACACAAACGTTCATTTCTAAGACACACAGAAATTGTATATTTCTGTCTTCATTGCCAAATAAATTACAGTATACCTGTGATGCATAAGCCCAGACAATTATTCGAGTGAATTTTCACATTACAGTAATTATAGTTCCGAATAGGTAGTTAGGTTTATGCATTTCTGTAGCTATGATCTACTAAAAGCTCTGGTTTTTACCGGGGTTTTTTCACTGCGTATATACGTTTCTGAAAATACTGACTACCAGACACGTTTTAAAATGAGAGCGATTCCAAAGAAGTATGGCCCCTTCACTCATCACGTAAAGGGCTGTTAACGCATCCACATGTCAGCAGGCAGGGTATCTCCTCCAAAGAACGGCACTTTTATTTGTAAATGTTCACACAGCACAGTACCATCAAGGGATACCACGTGTTGGGGCCTGGAATCAGGTCAGAATGGTGAACCCTGGCATTCTCAGGTGACCAAACTGATCCGCTCATAGTAGTAGGTTTTTACCCTTTTAAACTGGTACAAAACTGACACCTTTATTCAAGGCATCATGTTTGCAATAACCACAACACAAGTAGTCAAAAAAGCAAACAAAAAGAAGCAACTCTGATAATGATAATAATATGCACTGTCATTGAAGTTGATTGGTCCACACCCGAGACGGCTTTCTTTAGAGCCTAGTCCCCATTGGTGTTGGACCAGATGACACCAGAAGGCGTACAACTCAAACACAGTGCAATATCAGAGTCTTGAGAGCTCGGGGTAAGCATTTACACTATGAGATCTCTTTTACCAGTGGCAAAATAAAGTAGGTTTGATCCGTTCATGTACCCAGCCGGACAAACAATTGGACACGTGTCGCACGGCTGGAGTGGATAGGTCAAGGGCCCTTTGGCAAAGCGGCTCCCAGAAGCTTAGTCGATTATGATGGTAACCTTGATGGTTTCAACAAAACGTATGTGTGTAATGCGGATGCGGGAGGGAGCAAAAGAAGGTTATCATGTCTAGAAATGTTGCAGATGTAACAAGCGCAGCCTGGTAGAAATATGAATTTCATGTGCATTTGCAGTGTTCTATTTGTAATTGTTAAACGAAAAATTCATTCGTTTAGTTAAGCAGAATGGGTATTGGTTAGTTCTGGTCTTTGTAAATAAAGCACGATATAGAATAAATGGTAAAATGTTTATTTTGTAAGGTATATAAAGGATAGATGAAAGTGTTTTTTATACACTTTTAATTTATTTTTCTTTGGGTCTTTCGGTAAAGCCATGTAGAACAAAAAAATAATTATGCGTGACATTACCGAAAGACCCCAAAAATATGAATCCCTGCAGTCATGAAAGCTTTATTGTTTGTATAACATTGCAAGACGGGTATCGTGACAATGTTTATTCCCTCAAACCCATGTGAAAGAAAGTATTTATTCGGCATTATTAAGTCATGATTTTAAATAGGCTGCTAAACAAGTGGTGTAAAAAAGGACGGTCCACTTGATATTTTTCTGCCACTAAAGTTTCAGAATATTTCACTTTGGACACCGAGGTTAAATGTGCTTTCTGCACGTGTTCTGGCAATGAAAATAATGGAAGAGAGAAGCTAAATTCATAAAGGGACGAACCACTAAAGGCTGTGGATGCCTTTTCCCGATTATACAACTCCTTGTGCTCTTATGCTTTGCGTGTTCAGCAGCAGAATCCATTAGGGAATACGGCAGTATAACTCGTGATATAAAAGGGCAGCCTTTATAACATTCAAAGCAAGGATTGGATTTCATGTTTAAGAATTGTACCCCTGTGAGGTAAAAGGTTGACTATAAATTAACAAGGACGGGAGAAGACGCTACCTAAAATCATGCTAAACTAGGGCGCGTGGGAAGGTGGCTGCCTTTTAATGAGCTGCACATCAGACAGGCAGACGGTGCACACGGATGTCCCGTGGCATTATCTTGGAACACTAACATTGCAACCGCAATCACTCTATGAATGTTGCCAAAAAACACATTTTTTACAATTCAAGTTGTCGCCTCGCTGTGTTGGTCACTTGGCAATGCTCGTAGCTCAAACACAAAGCATCAAGAGCAGCAGCAGCAGCACATTCTCCTCCGACCTCGAGAACACGGCGGACTGATTTCGCCGTTGGAATCTCCATCCCAACCGCTAGAAATCAACAGTGACAGCCCTTAACTCGGATGATACCCTCCCTCCCACCCAGAATGAATCACGAAGTGTCACTACCACCTTAGACCAAAAAAAAATTAACCCGTAAAAACAAAGTTTTTCACTATAAATCCTTTATATGCGTGGC